ATAGTCTTGTTTCCATTTTATGCCAGCTTTAATGGAAAGGTCAAAACATGTTAAAAGTACAGATGATATTGCTGGAGAAGTGGAGTAAAGAGAGAAGAAATGAGTGTGGATGGGGTCCTGTAGCACTTTAAAAAAAAAAAATCAAAACAACTTGCCTTGTGTGCTCTGAGAGGGAAATGCAGAGCAAATAGCAGGAGTTAGATTAATGGCATTTCATAAACAGCTTTGTATTACTCATTTCCATGTCCCATTCAGCAACTGTGGCTGCACTATCAATGTGAAAAGAGGCCAATGTTGCTCAAACATGTTTTAAAAATCATGCAAGACTAATCGCAAATGGCTGTTTAAGTTGATATCATGTCTCCTTCATATCAGGGTCATGATTCTGCTAGAGGAAACTGAGCTGGGTATAGTACTACTGAAGTAACCCAATGTTCTCAGCTGTATCAGGAACAGCAACAGAAGCCCTGCCTCCCAACAATAGCACACAAGTGAATTCCTCCTCCCCCTGATTGAGTAGCAGCTAAAAAACCACAAGGCATCCCTTTCTTGGCCATTCAACTCTTTCCATGTGTTGCAAAGGGAATCCAAGCATCCAACTCACAGCTACAAATACTTCAACATTGGAAGACCAAGGCTTGTAGATCGAGCACAAGTCTCATTTCCAAAATGGATTTTAGTATTAGAAGCCCAAGTCCCATTGAAAGTCAATGGGATCTTAAGCAATTAAGCTACTGCTAATATTTTTACCTCATGTTTCATCAAGGTACTACATTTCTTTCACAAAACATTTTATAAATGTTATTTATTTTATAATGTAAGCAAGCACTTCTTATAGCAAACTTTGGATGTCAATAATTGCTATTGTAAAGTTTTTAAAGGCAGTTTTGGTTAAGTCTACACACCACTTTAGACCTTTGCATAGGCCTTGTCTAAGGTGCGAAACCAAACCATTACTGAATATACACTGAAATATGGACTGGCTGTCAAACCTAGTGGCGCTGCTGTGACTGCATTATCAGTTCTATGTATTTAATGGAAATCATTTTTTTTTTTAAATTTAAAAGATGCTATTTCTCTCTCCACACACACACCCGCCCCCCCCCCCCCCATCTCTGGCTCTGCCCCAGAATGTAGGTTCAGTTTGTTGGAGAGGGTAGAGGGCTTTAATGATTCAGTGTATGTCAATGTGCAAAACAGGCACAGCTACTGCCAATGCTGTTGCAAATCTCCTGCCATAGAGCAGGCTTTCCCAATTCCCATGACTTTATGCAGGTGATGACACCATTCTAAAGTTATCATTAGGAAAAACAGTGTTGCAGTAACTCACATCGAAAACAAATACATTGTCCTACTCTGCATTGCTCTTGGCATACAGCCCTATTCCCAGGACTTGTGTTAAACATTGGTATGCGCATCTGTTGTATTAACCTGATAATAGTTGGATATACCATGTGCACCCATGTAAACAAGTCCCCATCAATTGATATGGGTAGTTTGAACACACTACACTACAGCAAGATACTTAAGTCCAAGTGAGCCATTGTAAATTGCAATTACATTAATAAAGGTTATACCCTGAGCAAGTTTCAGGAAAAATGTTGCTGTGGGGAAAGTTCTCTTATTTCCAGGCTTTCATTGGTGGGTTTTTGTGCCTCGAGGCAAAGATGATGTATCCTTTTTTCGTCCTGGTTATCACACCATGAATATCAGTTTTCTCCTTTTCTGGATTTTAAACTTTAGGAAAATATAATTATCTTATTCCATATGGTAATTGTTGCCAATTATGTTTTTACCATTTTAAATTCATTGCCTTTCAATGTTTGTACCATGAAAAAAAAAAGGGGGGGGAAAATAAAAATGTTAAAGACTCAGAGGATACATAGCAAGTATCAAAATCTGTATGTTCACATTCCTTCAATTTTAAGGCATTTTTTAAAAGAAAGCTATTTCTTCTAAAAAAAAAAAAAAAAAAAAAAAATCAGCCTGCATTTTTAGAATTAAAACCCCCCCAAAAAGTAAAAGCTCTCATGTGCACCACAGTAGTAGCCCTGTAAAACTGTCTTTACTGAGGAGCAGGGGAGGGGAGGGAGGAAATAAAGCCAAACAGAGTCAGGAAATGTGTGTGCATCTTGTGTTCAAAGGAGCAGGACTACTGCATTGTTGATAACAGAAGTCACAGTTAAATTCAAGACCATTTATGGAAGAAGTCTAGCTCTTAATAGTCAGGACCACAGACAGCCATGTTCAAGTAGAGGGCAGACAATGTAAGAGGGCACAGATGCAATTTCCTGCATTAAAAAACAGCATAATTTATAAAGCAAAGTTTGTCAGAGAAAGGTTTATGTTGTACTGTCTGGAATTCTGTACTAGGTAAATTTGTCCAGAGCCGGCAGCAACATTGTTTATACACTAAATCAAACCAACTACACTTTTGTACCTCCCATTATGTACAGAAACATACATAAGATTCAGGAAGACAAAAGCAGCATTATTCCACACACAATCCAACCTCGCCATCTCAGCCCTAAAGAATCTTTTCTTGGTACTTAAAACACAACTGTGCTTGTATTCAGAAATGTTTTGGCACACAGCTTCCTGTAAAGACTACAATAAATCAGTCTGCATCTTTGGTTCATTCTCTCCACTAAACACTGTTCCTCATTTCCTTGAACTTCCTGTTATCCTCCCTACACCTATTCCCGTTTCTCCTATTCGGTCTTTCCCACGAACCTCCAGCTTCCTTTTCTCTTGATACTTTTAATTTTTATTTTACAAACTTCCAAATCTTTCTTTTATTTCCTTCTACTTGGTTTGTTGCATTCTGCTAGTCACTTCTAAGATCTTTTTTTGCATGCACAATAGTCTAGATCTGGTTTCAAGAGTACGTACTTTCCCTTCCTTCACAACATGCAAATATATTTCCATGACAATATCATTCTCTCTTATCTGATTCCCAAAGAGAATGGTACTTTAGAATATATACAGGCCCATAGAACAGCAGCAGACGGTTTACCAGGAAGCATTCAACCTCTAGTAATGTGCTATCTGGACTACAGCATATAGTTCAAATTATACATAAGGAAGTTACCAATCCCTGACACCAAAAGCACCAAAATCATGCAATTAAATACAGAAAGAAGCAGAACTGAGTCCATGTCTCAGAATGTAGTTTCAAGAATGGACACCCTGCCCCCCCCACCCCCTTTTCTCTCAACACCAAGCCCATGTATCCTTTGATAGTTTGGTGAGCTCAGCTGTCCTTATTCTTAAAATATTTTTATGTGATAGAATTTATTTGGTATAAGGCTGTAGCCAAAATGAAATTCTGCATTAACCCTATGACACAACTAGAACAGTTAGAAATCAGACTAGCTTGCATTGAGTATCTAAAGTGTAAGCTGAAGTCTAGAGGCTTTGAGCATAAAGAACAGACAGACTTCTTTAATTTTTTTTATTTGGGAAAAGTGCTTACAAAAAGGCAGCTGCAAAACAATACATTGGAGACCTTGGAACAATTTCTTATTCCCACCGTAAAAAGTGAAAGGAGAGGCAGTCTAGGGAACGAGCGGTAGGAGAACAGATTATAGGGCATCCATGAGTCAGAAACAGCAAGGTTAGCATTGTTGCAGTGGGACTTTGATGGCAAAATGACCTCATCTCAGTGGAATTATATAGCCTGACATTGCATAGCTGCTAGTTCTTTTTGTAAGCAATAACTTGCAACAAGCTGAACAGCTTTACAAGGCAATCAGCACAACTCAAATGTGATGAGGCGCACATGCCTTGAACCAACTAAGAAGCACAGCTATTTCCTAGTTAAGCTCATGGCTTGTATAGTTATCAGTGTCATAAATTAATAATAATAATTATTATTTTATTTTAAGAGTAAACAGTGCAACTACAGGATCCCAGCTTGTGTTCTACTGGAAAAGAGTACTTTTAGATCCCTCTTTGGCTAGCCATATTTCTACTTTCAGCCAACCCTCATAATATGCAGTAGAGAGAGCTGGTGCATTAAGGTAGCACCAACTATCAATCCAATGGTATTAAAATCACAGCCGCAGACTGGGCCAAGCCCACTAGACTCTTTTCACATCCGATCGAAGGCAAGACTTCATACACCAAAAGGGGATGAAAGGTATTTTTTGTTTTCCTTTTTTTTTTTTTTTTTTGAACACAGAGTCTCTCAGCCTTCGAGATCCAACTCTGCATTTATTTGTATATACACATAGGAAGTTCTCCTTTCACGTACAAAGACATTTTCCTTTCATGCTAAATACAGTAAAAACCCGGAACATTTGCACCTGGTTCTGGTTACACAGTAGTAATAGTAATGTGCAAGTAAACAAGAGACCAAAACCACAAATGAAGACGTGTACATGAGGGGGCTGGAACAGAGCTGAAGCCAGAAAAAGAGTACATATGTCTGGCCTGAAGTATCGATTCAAAGTCCATAGCAGAAAAAGGCCACTGGCCAATTTACATCCCCCACTACATGGTCACTGCTCATTTTTGTATCTGGGCTCTTCAAGATGAGTGTGGAAGTCCTGTAAACACTTTAACCCTGGAACTGGGTGAATCCTCTTGGGTACACAGATGAAGCAACAAACCTAAGCTAACTGTTTGACAGTTAAATTCATTTTACAAAAACTAACATTTTAAAGATTTATTTCTTGTTATTTGTTTTAAACAGAGAAAACAAACACTCCTGGGGCAGGGGAAGGAGACAGACCCTGGGTAAAAGTTATTACAACAGCACCTGGAATTGATAGGCCTGCCTAGGAGAAACACAGGCACTGCCACAACACCACAGGAAATAGCTACTGCCTGAAACCGAGCAGACAGTCCAAACTCCACTGACAGGTGCTATAGATCCAAGTCATAATAATCTTCTAGCTCATCATGAAACAAGTCCCACTCGTCCTCAGAGTCTGTCAGCTCATCGTCACCACCAGCTGCCAAAAGCATGAGCAACATCTCGCCAAGCTCAAAGGTCACAACCTCATCCTCATCATTCTCAAAGGGGTCGCTATTCTCCCTCTCCTCGATGAACTCCCAGAACCGATTCCTCCGCTGGGCCTGCAAAGAGAGCACAGTTATTGCCCTAGTGTGACCCAGTGTTTGAAGGTATGTACTCTCCTTAGGGGCTTATGTGCCTTAGGCCAGCCCCCCAGGCATAACATGCGAGTAACTTTCTTGTTTAAGACAACAGTGGTTCCCCAATGGAATTGGTTTTTACAAAAAACTGCTACTCCAGCTACCCGCCAACCTCTCTGAATCTCTAAAACATAAGCCAAGTTGGGAAATGTTAAGCAACTTCCATATACTGCTCTCCATCATTTCCAGTCTTTGAACCACCTGCCCCCCTCCTCAAATCCATTATTTATATTGTTTACTACTAAAGTAAATCCAGAGGTCTGCAGAGATAATTTTTTCCTTCCCTCTCCCCAGACAGCCCATTGACCATGCCTCCCTCCTACGCAATCCCTTTTAGAAAGGCCAAAAACACTGAAGCTTACCCGATATCTACTTGATGTTCCCACTTTCGGTCTCTGTGGCTCCTCTCGGCGGCCATCAGGATATGCATGTTTGTAAAAACAGTTCCCTCCAAATGGGCAGCTCCCACGGCCTTCATCAAAATACCTGCAGGGCTTGTTGCTGGAAAGGAAAATAATCGCAACCCTTACTCAAAGTAGACCCAAGCAGAATTCAGTACTGCATTTGCCTATAGTCCAAGGGGGTCTCTTTAAATAGATTCCACTTGTCACTGAAGCCACTTCAAATCAGCCAAATGCATCACATACCAATGATGTATCACATTATGTACACACAGACACACACACCCCAATAGGTGTGTGGGCAGATGCATGCATAAGGAGGCTGATCAGAGCGCACAAGCCTGTACTACCTTATGGCTGTATGAATAGTATTTTGTGTGGGTAAGGAAGGCTGTGAAGTCAGAAGTGGATAGGAACAGCTGGGTGATTGTGTGGATGCATGCATCTGTGGGTGGATAGGTAAGGACACATTTCATGTGCAGGGGGTTGGAAGGGAGGTATGAGAGGGCTTTAGATAACACCCTTCTGCAGGTGTGCCCTTATCTCTGCAGTCTTGACTTGAGAAAAGGCTGCAGTGCTCGTACCTCATTGCCTCCTTGTATTTCTGAATGAGTTTCTGCTTCTCTTCCTTCTCCTCCACCCAGTACTCACTTGGAATGACAAAGTTCGACGTGATCCGACATTCTGGGCAGGACCTGGGGAATGAACAGACCGTGCTGCAAAATTCCACATGACAGGGCGCTCCCTCCTGTTACAAACAAACTAGGGCATGTACCCATCTTTAAAGCTGTATGTTATTGTACCTGGACACTGGCTGCATGGGCTTTTTCAATCTACATTCTTTTGCACAAGACGACACCCTAAAACTCTTCCTCTTCTTTAAAAGCTCAACTCAGCAGCTGGTCAGGAAGTCTCAAAAAAGAACTTGGAAAAACATTTCACACAGACTCCTTTTGCTTTAGATTTAAATAAATTTATTAGTTTGTGTTCGTTTTCGTATTTGGTTGGTTGGGTTCTTAAGGGGAAACGGTTTGTCAGCTAGATGATGAAGTAGGGCAGCAAAAAGTTAAGAAACAGAATCAGAACTGGTTAATCTGATCTCAGTCTAATCTGAGTGCCTGAAATCTTTACAATAGTAACAAATTGGGCAGCATCTTGCTAATGACAGAACATGGCTTTTGTTCAAAATAAGCAGACTGTTTACTCCTAATAGATGTTAACCAGGTCAGAGTAAAAATTACCCCTAGAAAATGATTTCAGTTCCAGGTTAACGTTAGGAATGCATTTAACGTAGTCTTTGTGTGCAGGGGGAGTTTGTTCCAAGTTATCACAAGATACTAAATTTTTCCAAAGTAACAAAGCACAACCAAAATGGGAAAAGTGCCTCACTTTATAATCTTGCTCTCAAATTGTTTAGCGCTCCTCCACTTGCGGATACATTTGAGACAGTAAGTGTGGTTGCAGTTGGAGAGGATCCCAAAACGGCGCTCACTGGGGTTGGCTTTTTCATACACCACCTCCATGCAAATCCCACACACCATGTCTTTACTACGCTGGACGGCAAAGGAGAGCTCCATGTCCTTCTCATGAGCTTCAATGCAAGACTGAAAAAGAGAGAAATGCAAATACAAACATAGCAAGGGACAAGATGAACAGCTAAGAGTTAGGAATTCAGCTTGCTTTTTGGTTTGTCTGTTTTAGTGTTTAAATGTGGTCCTGAATTAAGAGCAAGAGATCAGTCCTCAAAAAGTTTCTCATATAATTATAGGCAAAAGTTAGATCAAGTTCCTTCCCAATAACAAATCTGGCTGCACACAGGAACAACTCAACTAAACAGAACCAACAAACCCAAACTGAAATAAGACGCAAACAAGAACACCTGTATGAAAAGTAACCCATTTTCCACCAGCCAAAAACAGAACTGCTCTGTGGTAACTGCCCACACACATGCTCTTACTAAGCAAAAGTTTAGAAAGGCCTGGTGCTAACTGCAAGCTAAACTGTGGGTACTTCCTACGTTTTCACTCACCACAGGATAAGAGCATGCTTACGGTCAGGAACCACATAGCAGCTTACATGCAGCAAGTCCATGCCCTGCTTTAAAATCACAAATTTGTTCACTTCTCCATAATTCTCTCCTTAGCTCAGTATTTGTACCATTATACAAGACTCTTCAAAGTTCACTCCTTTTTATACAGTTATTTTAAAACAGCCTTGACCAGAAGTCAAGTTTGCAACATCAGCTTCATTAAACTAACCAACTTGCATACAATCAACTTTTAATGAAAGGGAGGAAATGACAAATATCTTCTTGATACTGCTCAACACAAAAATTATTTGTGTGTTTACCTTTATGTGTTGGGATCGCTGTGCAGCATCAACTGGATGCAAGACCTGCAACCCACACATGTCACATACATCCCCATGGATATACACGCAGTTTTCTCCGTAACGACATTCTCCTACTGCAGCGTAGGGGCACAGCTGTTTCTTCATCTCCACATTTGCTTGCTGCTTCTCATACTCCTCCTCAATCACCATTCCCTGCAAGGGTGTTTCAGTGCAGGAAGGGGCAGCTGGAGGCAAAAGTTAAATAGATAGGAAACAATGTGTTAAACTGGAGTAGTCAGACTCCAAAATGGTATTTTAATCTTTAAAGACCATAGGTAAGCAAGCTAGAGTTTAACCAGAGAATGCAAGTCTCAAATCACACAAATCACCCCCCAAAAAAATTTTACACTAAGCCAGGGGTGTCAAACATATGGCCCGCAAGTTGGATCCAGCCTATGAGCTGGATCTGGCCCATGGAGTCACTCTATCCAACCTGTTGGACTACAGGCAGACCACCAAAAGTTGGGAGATGTGGCCTGCCACAGAATCCGGTGCTCTCATGCTCCAGCAGAAATGATGAACAGCAGCAGGAGGGTTAACAAGGGCTGATACAGCCCTAATCACCCTCCAGCCTCTTCATCTATTGTCACTGCTGCAGCCCTACTTCCCTGGTTGTGGGCCCCTGCCACATAGCCAATGCTGAAGCTGGTGCTGTCGCTGTAACATGGGGCATATGGCAGGGGCAGTTCTGGCTCTGGCACAGGGCACATGGGGCAAGGGGGAAAGAGGAGTTGGAGCTGCCACTACATGCCCTAGGTCAGAGCCAAGCTGCTGCCACCACATGCTCTAGGTCAGAGCCAGAGCTGCTGCCACCACTACCACTTCCTCATGCCCTGGGCTGGATCCAGCCTGCAAGGAGTTCTGCAATCCAAATTTGGCCCAGGGCCCAAAGCCAATTTGACAGCCATGCCCTAAACCAATTTAATTGTTTTGCAAGCAAGGAAGCAAGCACAAACAAAATTTCAACTCTCTACCTTTCCCTGCCCTCCAAACTTCTAGCCCACCCAAGGCCAAGCTGTCAATATAGTGTAAGAGGCAAGATATAAACTTACTAGGATACAGTCAGTGCTCTACAAGTTCACCAGTTCTGATAATGGTTCAATTATTTTTTTAAGCAGGGTTTTGTTCAGCAAGTATCACCTTAACTCTAACTCACTCCTGCTGAAACAAGTTAAAGAACCTTGTTCCACTTCTGTTATAACTAGTTAAAACATAATTTAGTCAAGTCCATGCCAGCTAAAACAAACCTTAGAACAGTTGGAAACAAACTAGTTTAACCACCATTCAAACTGGTATAGTGTCTCCACTGTAATCAATGCATAGTCATGTAAAATGAAGGATACTTACCAGAACTAGCCTGGAGCTCTGGAAACCTTACCTCAATAAAACCTTACAGTCAGACACATTAGCCTGCTGCTTGTGTAGGCTACAGCTCTTTAGAGCAAGACACTTAAGATTATTTCTGTTAGAACAGCCTATTATATCAGAAACATTAGCTGCATGCAAGGTTGTATTTTGCAGCTCTTGACACTAAGTAACAGCTTACATCTCTTGACTAATGAAGGGTAGGCACTTGGACTAAAGGTACAAAACAATATTTCAACTGTCTGATAAACGGCAATCCACATTAAGAACCAAAAGAACTAGATCAGTGTCCTGAAATATTGTTCAGAGAAGTGGATCACAAAGACTTGAAAAGACCTGATTCTATGGCTCTCAACTACTTGAGAATCTCAGTGGGTTTTTGCTACTGAAAAGCAGCACACTAGCTATAGCAATATCTCCTTATGAAGTTTAAAGGGCTCACTAATTCAGTAATATTTCTCCTCAACTCCAAGAACTAGATTTCTAAAAAGGCACAGATACCAAAATACCCATATTAAAAAGAAACAAACAAAAACTCAGCGCCTAGATGCATCTAGGTTCCTTCAGTTGCTCCAAGACATTAATTAGAGCTGCATTGTTATCAGAAATGTATTAAAATACAATATTCTCATAGGACTTGGTTCAATTTATTCCTTCAAAGACAAGGGAAGATCCTTTATGTCTGTTTCTTTTCCCATACATCTACAAGGGACCATTTTTAGATGTATTCAGGAGAAATCCCTACCTGATCTAGGACAGCTGGGACTGCAGAGAACACAGTAACTGATGAGCCCATCTATAAATAGAAAAAGCTCTGAAAAACTCCAAAATGACAAGAGACTTTGGGAGGCAGTCAGGAGAATACACTGCTCCAGTGACTAATCTCTAAGCCAAACCCAGTAGAAAAAACAACATAGCCTCAATAAAGCCAATAAGGTTACAGGTATTAGGAAAGATGCCTTCCTAAGCTTTCAAACACCAAAGAAACGCCAAAAAGATCTGATCTAAGAGGTGGGAACAAGTATTGGAAATTCAAAGACTCAGATCCAGTACTTAATTGATTCTATATACATGTGATTTTTTAGCCAGAGGGTTCCTTTGCCCCAGTAAAAAAAGAGACCACTTCACTGTTATGGCATGTATTAAGCACCAGAAAGGAAGTCAGGCAGATTTTCAAGCTTCTGAAGACATAGGGCCCCCAGCCACATAGCCAAATGATTATCCAGTAAAACTTGAGGGACAGTCCTTTACTAGTAAGACAGCGCCTTTCATTCTTCACTCAAGCAAAAGCAAGAACTATCGGCTCAGTACACAGATGTGATGACATCCAGGATGCTGAAAAAACCCACAAAAATCTCTCTCTCAGAACTGTAAGACTTAACTTCAGAGCATTACCCCTTGTCAGGATGCAATGAAAACGACCATTTTGGCTTCAGTTTGCTATTTGGAATTGTGTGTGGCCATATTTTCTGGATCCTAGCTGGATTTTTTCTTGTTTATAGACAACTTGTTGCACTCTAAAAGGAAGTATTCTTCAGGAGATTCGGCAACATGCTCAGACCAATGCAGAAACCAAGATTGGAGGATCTTTCATTACACAGTGTTTACACCAGAGATTTTCAACCAGGTTGCTGCAGCACCCTGGGGTACCTTACAATCTTTTGTGTGGTGTGTTGTTAGATGTACACATATGATTCACAAGATAAACAAGAGATTTCAAAGAGAGATCCATGATGTCAAAAGCATTCCGTTCTGTCATAGTTTTTCTGAATTTTTTGCATCAGAAAAATTGCTCTATTTTTCTGTGGTCAAAAAACAAGTGAAAACAAACAGCTGGCATTTTCCATGGCTGAGAGCCATGGTTTAGGCTGGTCTCAGAGAAGTATTCTGTGGTCCAAAACGCTGATGCAGAATGGTTCTGCTGCCCATGAAAGAATATCCGAGCCAGTGCAAGACTAGAGGGGAACCAGTGATTCCACTCGAAAGAGAAACAAAAGCATTTTGTATCAAGACGACAAAACACTGAACAAGCACTTTGCACTACAAGTAAATTTGTGAACCCCTGACAGAAATTTACCGTTATGCCATGATCAGCTTACCACGTCCACAGTATGGCTGCCCAGGGACAAACTCTACAGCATTTACCCAGTCTTCAGCACCTACTCCTGCAGCTGCCAGGTTTGTATTTTCAATTTCTGTCTCACCAGTGCTTGCTTCGAGTATTTCAGGGA